TTTGTTGACTTTCTTCTTCTTCTCTTTCCTCTGCAGCCGACATCGTTCCCTTCATCCTCCCAAACAACGACACTACTCCTCTTCACACTCCGACTCTGCTGCCGATGTCTCCTCATCCTGTAGCTGCACCTCCTGCTGCACCTCCTGCTGCACCTCCTCCTCCTGCAGCAGCTGAGACAGAACGCATTTCACAACACAGTGAGTCAAAACCCAGAAACGCCTGAATCGTATTAAAATCTGCATCCACCGGCCGTAACGTTTGCTTCCTCCTCTGCAGCGGTGCCGCCCGACTGGTTCAGCAACACAGATTCTCTAAAGGAGAGTTTCCGCATCGCCAGCAGCCTGGACTGGGCCAACATCGACCTGTCGGGTCACCCAGGTCCGTTCTGGTCGCCTCAGTCCGTTTAGAGGAAACAGCACAGCTTTATATTCACTGTTTAGACCTTCTTGTTCTTCTCTGGTTGATCTGCAGGAGAATGAATCAGACAGATGAGAACCAGACGTTCATCAAGTCTTTTTTCATGTTTTTAGACGAGCTGCTAACCCGCCTTTCTTTTCTATTGTTTCATGCATTTCGCTTTATTTTATTTGACTTGACGCCGCCGTCCCCAGACCTTCTGGAGAGCATGCGGCAGGCCGAGCTGTGCGACTGGGCCCTGGACCCGGCCCTCTTCACCTCCCTCTGCGACTCCCTGAACCGCTTCTTCACCCAGAGGGGGATGATCACGTCGGGCGGCGGCTCGCCTCAGGCCCTGCAGGCCCTGCAGCCGCCGGCCTTCCCCTGCAACCCTCCTCCCACCCTGGCCAGCCTCACCCACCCCTCGCCGCTGCCCTTCCCCGCCGCGGCCCCCAACGGAGCCCAGCCACCCCGTCGGGTTCTGCCCCTGCAGGGTCCGAACCTGCAGAGGCCTCAGCTGACGCAGCCTGCAGCCGGTGAGGTTTATGGTTTTATTCTCCATTTAAAACCGAGTTACAGGAGCTGATGAGGGACAAAACGCTGACGAGAAAGAACAAACCACAAAAACTTCTGCTCGACCGTCTCTAACTTTTTTATAGCATAAAATACTGACATTTATAAAGATATTTGTGAAGTTTTAGCTTCATATGTTAAATATTTTATGATAAAATTTCAAAAATCTGCCCGTCGACCAACGTTGAGCAGGTTTTTTTCTCACATTAAAATCTGAGGCTGTTTGAACAACAATATTAAAGATAAAAACCTGAAATGTTCTCTGTTATTCCTCATCATGTCGTTGATTTAGAAGCTGTAATATCGGACAAATCGGTCAAATAATCTCTGTTTATGGCTGAGTTGAAATATATATATAAAATAAAATAAATATGAAAAATATATATTAAAAATGTAGAAGACTTTTAATCTGAAATATTTGGTCACAAATCTGATACTGTTTGATTAAAGCAGGTTCAGATCGTTAAATCTGCTCAATCAATTCATTTAATCTTTGAAAGTAGTTCATATATTAATCTGTAAGAGATCATTTTAAATATCCAGAGTTTGCGATTAAGTTTAATTGAGCAGAAGGATCCTGATGGTTTGAAATTTAATAAACCTAGATTTAGTTCTGCACTGATCCAGAACTATAAAGAAAACACAGAATCAAGAAAAATAAAATTAAATGGAAGAACAAGGTTTGAAGAAAATGAAACATCCAACGTCTTTCCAGCAAAATTATAATAAAATTTTAATAGTTCTGTGTGAGATTTGCCCCATAAATCTATTTTAAGGCCTTAAAAACACACATTTATATCATCTAATGAATTCCAAACTGTAAAATCAGCTGCTCGGTCGTCTTAAGACGTTAAATCCCTGCGTTGGATCATCACAGACGTCTTACTTTAATCCGTCAGTTTGTTATTCGACACGAATCGGCTGCAAGTTTTCACCACATGAAGCTGCTGTAAATAAGAATTCAACGCCGAGCTTCCTCCTGGTTCGCTGGACCTAACCCTCATGAAACAGGATTTAACTAAACTGAAACGACAAACAAGACAAGCTTTTATTTTGAAAGGCTGTCAAACGAAGCATGCTGGGAAATCTACCAGAACTCCAGTTTAGTTGTTTATAAATCTTTGGTTCGTTTTAAGTCTCAGGGCCTCAAATCAGAAATAAAACTTTATATTTGAATTAACTGGAAGTTCCCCAAAGCGTCTGTGTGAAGGTGTCGGTAAAGATTCGGTTCCTCTGGAGCCGAGCGAAGCAGAAGTTCTGGTTCAGACAGAATCTCACTTCCTGGTGTGTTTGTGTTCTCAGCTGGGATTCACCCTCCGGCCTCCAGGCAGCGTCCGCCGCTCAAGAGCCTCCACAGCAACAGCGAGGAGTTCCAGGACGACTTCGACTGGGACTCTCTGCTGGTCTGACCGCAGACGACCAGTCCAACCAGTTAGTCACAGAATCAGGTCTACGGGGGGTTTAGACGTGACCGGCAGGTTTTCTTCTGGGTGGAAATGACACAAACCCAGTACAATGGTGAATATTTAAACTTTTTCTGCTTTTTTTTTTTTTCACATCACGCCCAGGGTGATTCCTGCGTCTGTCACGGTCCCAACGCTTTGATCAAATCCAGTCATTCCATTAAATATGATCAGATTTCTGCTCAATCATCAGATTTTCCTCAAATGTTTACAGCATAAAATGGATCATTATAGATGTTTGTGAAATTTTAAACTGACATCTTGAACCATTTCTACAACAAATTCTGCTCGACCGGCTCTAATTTGTTTTGTAGCATAAAATACAAACATTTATGAAGAAATTTCTGACATTCCAGCTTCACGTTACATATTTTCTGAAATAAAGTTTCAAAAATCTGCCCGTCGACTCGCTTCCAGCAGGTTCTTTTTCTCACACTGAAATTTAAAACATCTGAGGAACTATTAAAGATAAAAACCTGAATTTTTCTCCGTTATTTCTCACCATGTCCTTGATTTAGAATCTGTCATCTTTAGAAAACGTTCCTGAACCTCCAGAGCTCTGCCTGCATCAGACCATCTGCTAATATTTTAGTTTTTGTGCTACAACTCGTCAAAGCTGCTCAATCAGCTTTTTCCTTTGCATTTCCTGTAAGAACATTTCATAATAAAAGCATCCTACATAGTTTAGTTTTGTATTACTGTGATCTGCAGCTACATGTGGTTCAGGAAACATCACGGGTTCACTTCTGCTTTTCTAATTTTTGGTTCTGAATGAGCTCAAAGACGAGACTTTAAGACATTTCGTGGGTTTTTTTCTCTCCATTTTTTTCCAAATCTGTTCCTGATGTTTCAACTCAGCGATAATCAGAGAATGTTTGATCAACGTGTCCGATATGACAGACTCAGAATCATGATGAGAAATAACAGAGAAAGTTTCAGGTTTTTATCTTTAGTCGTTCTGCTCAAACCAATTTCAATGTGAGAGGAAAAACCTGCTGAAAGTGGCAGATCAAAAACAAAAAAACCTGTGAGAGTATTTGAGATATGAAGCTCAAATTTCACAGATAAAATTGTAAATATTCGTAGTTTATGACATAAAAGTTTCACGTCAATCAGAGCTGGTTTGCTCCGCCGTCGTCAGATTGAACAACCCTGATCTACGTTTAATTTAACTCTATGTGGACATTTGTAGTAAAAATAAACCCAGAAATAGTTAAAAAATCCACCATAAACACCTGTGACAGGACGCCCTCGTCACTTGTTTTCATCATTTCAAAGCAGAAGAAATCCGTCCGTCACATAAAAAATCGACTATAAACCAGAAAGTCCGACTGATTTGTGGCTCAGCTGAACACAAACTCACTGTTGTACATGTTTGAGCTTCTCTGAGAGCCAATCTGGGATCAAGTTTGTTCTGTCGACTTTTTTTCTTTTACTGATGCTGTACAAGTTAAACGTTCTGCTGCCGGTGAGAAAATAAAAGTTCCTCCTTCTTCTTCTTGTGCAATGAAAAAAAAACCAAAAATAAAAAAAAGCCAAAACGCACGTCGTCCTGTGTTTTTGTTTTATTTCATAAATTTCTTTAGATTTTTTTTTTTCCATTTTACTTTTCAAATGTGAATGTTCACAGTCAACACCACACAAAATTCAACCTGACCCGATAAAAGAGATATTTTTTTTTCTTGTTGATATAAAATAACAATAAATTTCATCAAACTAAATTAAAAGAAGAGCGTGGAGCGTGTTGTCGAGTCCCTGTTGGTTCCTCCTCTCCTCCTTCTGTCACATTATTGTCTTTTTTGTTGTTTTTTAAAGAAGCTTCAGTAGTCGTCCCTCTGCGGAGGAGAGAGGATGAAACACCTGAAATGTGATTAAAGGAGGAAAAAGCTGCTTCTCATCAACACAAAAAAAAACAAAACAGAAGAAGTGAAATAAGTTTGGCAGAAAAGCACTCGTCTGAGATCCCGACGTCACGCTTCATCAGTTTCCAAAAACAAACGATTTCTTCCTTCTGAGTCGCTGAAATGAGATCGGACAGAAAAACAGATAAACACAGAAATCTTCTCATTCATTCACTCGACAGACGTTCAGTTTTCTACAACAATCAGGAAGAAAAAAAACAAAACAAAGCTTTTGATTTGAAATGGCATCATCGCATGATCCTGTTTTTTTTTTTTTTTCCTTGATTTTATTTGTTCCCAAAAACTGGAAAAAAATAAATTAAATTAAATTAAAAGTGATTCCGACCACGCTGTGCCTGAAATGTTACCGGTCCGGAGTTAAAAATCATCCTTCATGCACTGGTTTCACAGAACCGGCATCGGTGTGAGGAGGAGGCGGCGCGACGGGTCCTCTGTTCGGTCAGTTAGTGGCGCCGCCGCCGCCTCGTCCTCCGCCGGAGAACCTCCTCAGACTCGCCTTCATCGGGACACGACATGACGTACGACACGAACAGAAGTGGATCAAAACAAAAATAAATAGATCTCTATTTCCCGCCCAAAACAACCCACATTGAAATGAAAGGAACTGAAATTACTCTGAAATGAAATAATGCTTCTGAAGGAGGAAAAAAAGATAAAGAAATGTTTAATTTGTTTTCTTTAAATATAGAGATGTAGACGCTTTTCTTCTTGAACACAAATCGCTCCGGGTGGGGGGGAGGGGGGTGACGGAGGGGGAGGGGGGCAGCAGGTGCGACGGACAGGTGAGCAGAGCCGTGATGTCACTTCCTCAAAGAAGAAAGGGGTTGGTGCTGGCGCCCGCCGCCCCGCCACCGCCCACCGACCCCCCGGCGCCCATCACGCCCCCCGGTCCAGACGGCCCACCCAAAATCAGCTGAGGAGGCGGCGCTCCTCCGGGCCCCAGCAGGGCGGAGCCGGGCGGGGCCATGGGGGACAGGCCGCTGTAGGGCATCCCCATGGGGCTGGCCTGCATCATACCCAGGCCCATCCCCGGCGGCGCCGCCCCCATGCCCATCGGGCCCATGCCCATCCCCGGCTGCACCAGGCCCAGCATGGGGTTGGGGGGCACGGGGCTGGTGCGGAGGCCGCTGAGGCCGAGCGAGGAGGGCTGAGGAGAGATGGAGGTCATGGGAGGAGCCACGCCGAATGGGTTGGAGGAGGCCGGCGTCGGAGACACGCCCCGGCTGGAGATGGTGCTGCCCGGAGTGACGGCCATGCCGGGAGCCGGAGATGAGCCTGGACAGGAAACACAGGGGACAGGAAACAAGGTTCAACATGGTTCCTCTGAGGGTCGTTTGGTTAGCTTCCACCATAATGTCTGGACTACAAGCCGCTCCTTCTTTCACACGCTCTGAACTCTGCGGCTTAAACAGCGATGCAGCTGATTTATGGATTTGTACGAATTCACCTCGAGACCAAAGTGACGCTGAGAGCGACGACAACAGAGAGACTGAGGAAGTGACGAAGTGATTCTGAGGCTGTTCAGCTCCTGAAGACACTGAAGAAGACGACTTTAGTGGTTTTAGTGCAGGAGGAAGATGAAGATAGCCATCAGTGACTTTTCCTGGTAGCTGCTGGAGTTTTATTCCCTTAACCAGCCGTGTTACAGGAACTGCTCAGAAAAAAGCCTCTACGGTACGGATTTAATTAAAAGTTAAAACATCTCTCTGTGTAAATATCTCATGTTCCAACGTGGACACCTGCAGCTTAGAGACCAGAGCAGCCTGTATATGTTCACACCTGGTTTCCTGTTTACAGTTAGTGGGTGGAGCTTACATTCAGGTGCCTCAATAGTCCAGACATTACGGTAATTAACTCTTTGCGCTGTAAAACCTGAAAGACAAGATTTCTTTAAAATAAATTTACCAAAAACGATTCAATTTATGAGCAAGAAGCTGTAAAAACACTCAGAATGAAGGAGTTTCTAATGTCTGATGTGCTGTTCGATCTGCGAAATGAACCAAATCTGAGCTTCAAATTGTGACATTTCAACAAAATCACTTCAGAAAAAATCTGCCAAAAAAAGCAGATTCTAAAAAATAAAAATAAAACCTTCTTCCCTCCAAGTTCCAGCTGACTCTCCGTGACGGACCGGGACCAACAGTGAAAA